TTACCCCCATCACATGATATCAAATCTTCTTCATTACATGATTCTTGAGATGCCGAAGTAAAGTCAACCGTATCAAACCTTTCTCTGTATGTCTTAAACAAAACATCGAATCTTTTCTCAACCTCTTACACCATAGCCGCCACCTTCATCTCAAGCACTTCTTTTACCAAAGATTTTCCTTCGTTATGTTATACATAATCAAGTTTCTAAACTGTCCGATAAAAGATGATTTCATTGTAGGATCCGACATAACGGCAAAATATATAAAGTCATTCAATTCGTCAATCTTCCCTCAATACTTATTGTATTTTTCTCGCATCGCCCAAGCTATTGAACGGAAATCGACCGTCTCCTCCCATGCACGTAGATGTTTGTCTATATCTAGAATTTCTCTAAAAAATACGAGCTAAGGGCTTTGAAGTGGCCTACATATTTTCCGTTTTAATCTTGAATTTCTCTAAAAAGTCGACCACTCGTTTGCATATACCAAAATTCGAATGTTCGGGGGCTCTATCAAGATCACGAAAATAACTAGCATCTTCACGAAAATAACCAACTCAAATATCAAAGTTCAATATCAGTTGAATAAAAATGACTTAAGGGTCGTTTACCTCACTTACATGGTAAATGCTTACTGGTAAAATTAAACATTATTACTTATCTACCGGGTAAGATTTTAGTCCACCAAAATGACATCTTATGCAATATTTTACCCAATAACCGCTATTTGTATTAAGAGTAATCGCACTCAATTAGCAGGTAAGACTCTGAGTCCTTGCCTTCGCTTTTACCGGGTCATATTCATCCCATAAGGTAATGTGACTTTGTAAAGCACTTACCCGGGTAAGCGTTTGGTAAACGACCCCTTAGACTTTTTTGAATTTTAGGTTAAAATATCAATAGTTATATTCGAATAACATTAGATTAAAGCATGGTTTAGTCTTTGAACTATTGAAAGCATATTTAACACTCTAAAATATGGAAAAGAGCGACTAATTTAAAAAAAATTTAACACATCAATTAAAGAATAAATTCCCTTCTAAATGTCAACACTTGATTACCTAAAATGGTAATATAAGATTTAACATCAATAATCAATAACCAAAACCTTATACAAAGTTTAGGGACGAGTGTTACAAAAACCCAATAATTGTCGCCATCTCCAAAAACGGAAGATGTCCTAAAATAGCTAAAACATTCTCGTCCTCTAACTAGCACTCAATTCTTCTAAGTGTCGCTAGTACCATTTCCCGACGCGTACCTAATGCATATGTCGAAAGAAAAAGTGTTAAGTCTAACACCTACTGAGTTCAAACAGTTTTCATCTTTATTATAAAACGATAAAACTGAAAGAACACTATTTAAATTACAATTTCCTAAATGAAATATATTTAATATAAGATCAACGACTTTCCAAAACTCACCATTTTCCCGATTAAAACTCGGTTAGTGAAATGAATGATTGAATATTATCTACGTACATATGCGTAAAACCCCACAAACACGAATTTTAAAAAGATGGATGACTGAATATTGTTACATATGCACATGTGTACAAACACACAAGGAAAAGAATAAATGCATATTGTCGCGTATGCATATGTGCATAAAACTGAATTCTTGGGGATGTATTCATCAGTCGAAATGACGGGAAGAAGTTTTAGCTTCAATAACAACAATTAGAGATTTAAAGATTTAGGATCAAGGTTCTTATTGGAAATCATAGTTTGGATGTTATTGAGGAAGAAATATCAGGTTTGGCCTGAACCTTTGTTTAAACCTTGTTTGATAAGAAAAGGTTTAAAAAGTGGCATTAAATGGAACCCGATTGGTTCAAAGGTATGAAATTTTATATAGCTACGTGGTTAGCTTGGAAGTGGAAAATGATTTGGTATTACCTCTTGCATATTCATATATTTGTGATATATATATGAATAGTTGTTTTATAAAGGTTTTGGTGATCCTTCACCCTGCAATTACATGATTAGGGTAACTCACTAGACTCTTTAGTCTAACCCTCGTTTTGTGATTTTAAAATATGTATTGCAGGAGGTGTGGAAGGTAAGGGAAAAGAAAAGATATAATGCTTATCTTATATGCATTTTGGATGAAGAGTTGTTTTTGATGATTAGTACAAGATTGTATTTTGAATTTTTGGACCTTGTATTTGGTCATGATAGATTATTGTACTAAGGGACCCAGATGTATATGAATATGTATTTCTTTGGTTTGAAATATGTGTTACATGCAATGTGTGGGTTGGGGCGTTACAGAATGGTTTTGAAAATCATACATTTGAAATGATAAAACGATAATGTTAAACGATTTTGGGAAGAAGGTTGATTTTAGTTTGAGTTTTTGCAAGGATTTGAAGATGAACCGTCTACTATGAGTCGGGTCGTATAGATAAGCTATAGGATTTTAGTTTGATTGTGGTAGATATCTAGAAAAAATTGGCCGAATCTAATTATTTGTATATATGATTTCTTGGTGAGAGGAGAAGCAGAAGAAAGAGATAAGTGTCATTGTTGTTGAGCAAACGTTGCTTAGGGTTAGAAAAAAAATCAAATCACTTGCATCGCTAAAAAGTTTGCTTTTCAAAATAGAATAATTTGATGTTTATTGTCTTGGGTGTCAAGAATTTAGTATTGGGATAATCCAAATGAATTCTCTGATCTTAAGGCTGTAATATTGAGTCTTTATATACACCCAAATTCTCAATCACATATTTATATGAGAGATCGACGGTTATGAGTGGTTAAACGGTGAAAAAAAAACATAACTACATAACAATTACAACTGTTAATAGATAAGATTTAAAAACAGTTACAACCAACTCAATTTCAAAAGTAACAAGTCTAGATAAGAAACCATGATCAGAGGCTTTGGGCAGAAGGCCTAGGCTATGATTATCCATCTTAGAAACAAATCCAAGTTCATAGACTGATTACAGGGCCAGAGGCTCTGTCTTAACACTTAAAATTTGAGAATTCTGATGAAGCTTTTCAAAAGAACCAAAGGCTGTCTTTAACTAGAAGCTCAAGTCACATGGAGCAGAGGTTCTGATCTTAAGGATCATAGGCTCTGATCCAATACTTGGTCGAATTTTATCCAAGTTAAGGAATAACTTCAAGAAGGTTTCCAGCCTTTCTAAATTCATCCTAATTGTTTCGAAATTTTGAAATTCCCAAGTAACCTATTCATAAAATTCATAGAGGTGTTCTGTCGCTTGGACCCTGCAAATAACTTATGTATATATGGTTTTATCTTAAAACATATCATACTATACTTTATACGTAATTAAAATAAAATATGTATGTATAATTTAATAATTATATTTTTATAGTTGATTCATGTATAATGGAATAAAATTATTTCCTACTAAATAAAATTATATATTTATTTTGAAGAAGTAAAATAAAATTTTCATTTACAAGAAATTTGTTGGGTTATTAAATATATTAGATATTTTAATAATATAATTAATATTAAAATCTCTTAAATTTAATGTAATTTTTATCTTTTTTTTTTGAATTTCTTTTTCTATTTTGAATAAAATAGAAGCGGGCAATGCAGTTTGATATATATCGATTTTAATTTTCGTTTTTTAATTTGTCTTTATCGATTTTATAATATGGTTTTGTACGTTTTTTGGAAAAATGATAATTTTTTAATTCTAGTTTTTATTATAATTTAATTTAAGTTTTAATGACTAAATAATTCATTTTAGATTTAATAATATAATTTTTTTATA